TTTGCAATTAATTAAAATTAAACCTAATACTAAGTAATTATTTAATTATTTACAAGAAAAATGTTTTTTTTTGTATTTTTAATGAAAATAAAAAAGAAAAAGGAATTAAAATTAAAAGTTAATGAAGCCTAATTCTAAGTTTATTTTATTTATTGTAAAAAAGTTAAAGTTAATCTAACTTAACTAATTAAATTAATTTACATTTTATTTACAAAAATAATAATTAATAAATTATAATAATAATTAATGAAAGTATTTACATTTTTTATTCTCTGAATTTTATTAAAAATATTAATTTATTAGTTAATAATATTAATAATTAGTAATTAAAAGAAAACAAAATAAAATTAAGAAGAAAATAAGTAATTAACCAGGGGGGTTTTCTGGGCCCATGGGCGGTTAGTTTTATAGATTTTAGGCCCAACAACACAAAGCCCTTGTTGACTTTCTGGATTGGCTATGCACGCTTTGACTGGAGAACATGGTGGTCAACCATCCCTGGTCTTTGGATGCACGCGTATAACCACTTGGCATGATGAGGCGTGAGGGTATATGGTGGAACCCTTGACAAGCGTTGCATATGAAGATATTATGAAAAATAATAGAACTAATTTGGGGGACCTGGGAATCGAACCCAGGTCCTAATGATAACCAGCCAGATGCCTAACCACTCCACCACGCGCTTTCTTTTGATATTATAGTGGCCACTGAAAATAATATATAAAATAGCAATTATACTGGACAAAGCAAAGCGCGCGCCATATTATTTGAATGACCCACTAGCGAGCTCCCACGTATTATCTTCTTCGTTTTCCTGCAATAGAAACAATTAAATAACGGGGGTTTTAAACCCCCACAAAATAAAGCTGCCAATAATAGCGATTAGGCCCCTGATGATCATAAATAGTTCGCGAGGGTTGGGTTGAGTTCGTCTGGCCTTGACGAATTCAACCATAGGCGCCATTAGTCCTAATTTTACCTATGCTATAAACCCCCAAATTGGAAGCTTCGAAAACCTAGATTTCATCAATGGTGGTTTCGGTTCTAGGGCGCCATAATGCAATTAACCAATGCCAACAGCTTCAGAAAGGTCAGAGCAATGCAAAGCACATGACAAATCACATTAATAATGCATGGATTATGATTTACGATTATGAAAAAAATTTCCAAACCGTGTGACTTGTTCTAGCGTGTTCTTGGAGTGTTAAGGCTTGTTTGTGATTGCAAATCGTTCCTCAATATCCCAGCAAGCTATTGGAATCACTCTAAGGCTTTGAATTGTGCTGGAAGATTGATTTCAGTTTTGAGTTTTTTGCTTGATTTTTGAATAATGGTTATGGCTCTGTAACAGCTTTTGCACCTTTTTTGCATTAGGGTTAGACTCAGTACTTATGAGGGAAGGGAATTAGGTTAACTTCTGGGCCTTAATCCATGCACATGAGAGAATTAGGTTTAGGTTTTTCATCATTAACCAACTTTCCTTTTTTCAAGAAAAACCAAGACTTTATGTGCAACATAGCCCTAGCATGAGTTTGTGAGCTGACACGTGATGTATGAAAGCTATTCAAATCCAAAAGATACTATTCCATTGATTTTTAGATTTTATTTGAATTATTAAAGATTTAAAATGAATTAAATCAATAAAAATTAAATAAAATAGAAAAATAAATGTTTGATCTTGAAATTAATCATGGGACACATGTGTGGCATGACAAGGCTGAATCAAGTGGAAGAAAGTGGGCCCTTTTGTCAAAAATTGAAGTTTCAAGGATAGTTGTCTTTTGCACATTCCCAAAAATTTCCTAACTTCTCCAATGCACATTTTGCTCAATTTTGATCATATGAACATGTTCTTTGACATTTTGGAAAGGTCTTGAAGTCCTCTAACCAATTCCTTTTGTCCCATGTCATTTTGATTTACCAATCTCAAGTTATGGTCTTTGACTTAAAATTCCTTTTTCTTGACTTTTGAAAATGACCTATAATGTAGAAATTGATAACTTTTTGTGAGAGAATTTCTTGGACTTGGAATGTGAAGATGAGTTGTAGGAAATGTCATCCCCTTCAAAATGAGCATTGGATGGGATTTTTATGATGAACCATGAAAAAGTTATGCCTTGGTCAAGTTACAGTTGACTTTTCAGCTGTCCAAAAATGGAAACGTTTGCATCTTGATCTATTTTGAGCCATTCTTGTGGAATCATGATCAAGACTTGATCAAATGATGATTGTGGCTTCAAAATAAGATTTTGACCAAAAAAATTTGACTTTTGACTGCCAAATGACCATTTTACCCCTATAGTTGATTGTGAAGCAATTAGGGCTTTTGACTGTGCAACTTGATGCTGTGAGTCTTGAAACTTGGCATGTAGATGCTTGACAATGTATATAGGCATATGGGACTTTATTGATCCCTTGACAACCTCAACTTCCTTGCAAGAACCAAAACCCTAATTTTGACTGGCTTAGGAGGCCTTTGAATTGTGCAATCCTTGATCCATTTGAAGATTGATCTTTGACAATTTTTGAAGAATATGGGAGGGAAAATTTTGGGGTACAACAGATCTGAACAAGCGGTAGGTTAACATCCGTGTCTGGAGAACCCGTAAACTGTTTGCAGAAGTCTTGAAGAATCTGAACAAGCGATAGGTTAACATCCGTGTCTGGAGAACCCGTAAACTGTTTTCAAAAGTCTTGAAGTTGAATAAGCAATAGAGCAGCATCCATGTTAGGAAGCGTCCATAAACTGTTTTCAAAAGTTGAGTCTGAACAAGCGATAGATTAACATCCGTGTTTGGAGAATCCGTAAACTGTTTTCAGAAGTTGAAGAATCTGAACAAGCGATAGGTTAACATCCGTGTCTGGAGAACCCGTAAACTGTTTTCAGAAGTCTTGAAGAATATGAACAAGCGATAGGTTAACATCCGTGTCTAGAGAACCCGTAAACTGTTTTCAGAAGTCTTGAAGTTGAATAAGCAATAGAGCAGCATCCATGTTGGGAAGCGTCCGTAAACTGCTTTCAAAAGTTGAGTCTGAACAAGCGATAGATTAACATCCGTGTTTGGAGAATCCGTAAACTGTTTTCAGAAGTTGAAGAATCTGAACAAGCGATAGGTTAACATCCGTGTCTGGAGAACTCGTAAATTGTTTTCAGAAGTCTTGAAGTTGAATAAGGAACCGGTGTAGGGTTGCCTGATGATGAGTCCGTGTAGAACTGTATCTGAATAATTGTTAATGATAGCCTTTTATTCTTATCCTGAAAAGGACAAAATGTTAGCTAAACACAAAGTTATGTTGCATGAAATGTATGATGCAATATATGTTATATAAATGTTTATGATATGAATGTAATGAATGCGCATGCCAGCTGATGAGCTGTCTTGCTGTGGATAGAGGAATCTTGGATAGCCGGAGATAATAGAATCTTGACTGCTGCCAGGGAAAGTGAATCCTTGACTGCTATAGGGGATTGTGAGAATCCTTGATTGCTGAAGATGGGACATCCTTGTCGACTGCTGACTGTCTGGGGAACAGGATCTTCAATTATTGTGGGATCTTAGGACCACTGTTGGGGATTGGAACTCCTTACACTAGTGCAGAAATGACTTTTTACATCGGGTGAAATTGACTTTTTACATCGGTTCTGGGTCCGATGTAAAGTCAGGCGATATAGTAAATCAGGGACGTTTTACATCGGTTCTGGGACCGATGTAAAAAGTCCCTTTTTTACATCGGTTATAATATCAGAACCGATGTAATAACCTGTTATTATGCACATTTTTTAAAAAATTGATCCAGTTTTTTACATCGATTGGAAGTAATACCCGATGTAAAAAGTCCCTTTTTTACATCGGTTATAATATATGAACCGATGTAAGAAACAGTTATTATGCACATTTTTTAAAAAAATTGATCCAGTTTTTTACATCGGTTATAAGTAATACCCGATGTAAAAAGTCCCCAGTGACGCGACTTTTTACATCGGTTATTATCCCCAACCGATGTAAAAAGTCCCTTTTTTAAAGTTTTTACATCAGTTTTTACTAATAACCGATGTAAAATGTATGAAATTTTTTTGGAATAGATTATTTATTTTCTGGATGTTTCCCTGTACAAATATAATTTGTATCCATTTTTTCATATTTTTCCAATATCACATAGACTATATTTATGATAGAGAAATTTATTGATAATTTTAATATAAGTTCTCAGACTTGGCACAATAAAAATTACTCTAAATACCTATTTGAAGTAACATAAAATATATAAAAAACATAAAAATTATAATGTTTGAAAATGTAAACATAAGACTTTTAATGCCCAAATAAGAGTCTTAAATCTCTAACAGCGCGCAGCACACGAGGAGGGAGCTTTTAGTCCATATACTCGTTTTCTTCCATCCCATCAAAGAGCCTTGCATTCCTAAAATACAAAATTTGCATAATAAATTATTGTTGTACAATTACTAATATATATTCAATGAATTTAAAAAATTAAAAATTGTTTTTAATAAATTATTGGGAAATTATGCAGACATTTTCCAATAGTGATATGAAAATTCTTAGAGCTTTATGATAGTAAGGTGTTGTATTTACAAGAAAATATTGCTCAGTATGCAAGAAATAGTGTTTGATATTCTACATCAGTAAAGAAATATTCTTGTTGTTAGAAATAAAGTGTGTTAGTGTTTTAATGCATGTCTAGAAAAGTTCTAGTTAAGGAAAGATTTAGAATTTAAGCGTAATTATTGACTCACGTATATTTCTTGGGAACTTACCAATTACACGATATTCATGAACTCATTTTTATTCTAGTATATGACACTAATTTTGTTGTTTGAAAAAAATTGTGTCATGTATAGTTCAAGAAGGATAGTTATATCACTCATAATGGAGATATGTTCAAGCTAATGGATGACAATCCTACGTAATGGAAGCCAATGATAGAAGACCATTTATATTTATAAGATTTGCATGAGCCAATCACATAGAAGGATAAACTCAAGGGGAAGAACGACAAATTCTTGGAGATAGAAACGGTACCTTAGTTCTAGCAGAGTATGTCCCTCTAGCAAATAACCCAAATGGTGTTGTATCTTCTGGCATTTCATGTGTGTAAGGTTCTGCTTGAGGGCTGAATGTTCCAATCATCTCTTTAGTGCTATCAACTGTAACAAACCTCACAAATTACTACAAGATTACTATTAATTTAATCTTATCAATCATCTAAGATATAGTTACTTACCTTTGAGGCCAGTTTTCCAAACAGTGTTGGTGTATTTAAGACCAGAAACAATATTATGGTTTACTTGGAATGTAAACATCAGCCTATAACGACAACCTCCTTTCAATGTAAACCATAAACCGTTTGGATTTCCTGTCTCTGGTACGGCGGTCGAAGAGGAAGACCGGAAACGGTGGCCGAAACGACGGTCAAAGAATATTACCGAATCGGAATCGGGCGGGCATAAGGCAGTCGCGGTGGCAATCGGAATCGGGCGGGCATAAGGCAGTCGCGGTGGCAATCGGAATCGGGCGGGCATGCAGAATCGGAATCGGAAACGGCGGTGAAGAGGAAGACCGGAAACGGCAGCCGAAACGGCGGTCAAAGAGGAAGAATGAAGAATGACACTCAAGTTTACTTGCAAGCAACTGGAGATAAGAGGAAGAATGACAATCAACAATAATAGGATTGATAAATGTCAGGTATACAAGCCTAGGCCAATGTTAAGGATTTACAACTTACACATTAAAACCATGTTCTGAAGTATTAACACTTCAATCCCAGAAAAAACAAAAACATAAATGTAATTAAAGTTAAAGCATCACAAAGGCATTGTGAGTTTCAAGCCAGTTAACCTGTAAAAGTATAGGGTGGTGCTTTGCATTGCTAGACCCTGTTTTATCATTTTCTTTCCTTCCGTCATTCTGCTTTCCACTTTCAACTGAGCCGTTTTCAGAGGACACTTTATTAACCTCTGCCTGCACACCAAATTTCAATGAATGTATAAAAGCTAAATCCAAACCATTGAAAAGGAACACTTTTAATCCAAGTGAGCACTGTCAGTAGGAGCTTCAATAATTTTTTAATCAACTCAGTAGACAGAGAAACAAAGTACACACGCCCAAAAGTATTGCATCAAAGATTGAATACAAAAAATTAAGATAAGTACTAACTAGCAATTTTGCATGCTAATAGAAGTACAAATACAGTTTATCATGTAGAAATAATCTCATGCAATACAATGAAACATATGTTTAGCCAATAACTGAGCTGTCTATCCCCGTACAATCATACTAACAAAACCTCCTATAATCACTGGTGGATCTTTATAGGGACATCGGGAGGCCACAACTTCTACAAAAAAATTCATTCTAAATAGGTATATACACATATTATAGTATCATGTTATATTATATTATGTTGTGCACACATTTAACCAGTTTACGAAGCGGTCCAGAGACAAAGTGGAATTATCATAAAGGAGCATAATCTGCGTTTGAACCCAGGTAGGACTCAAACCATGTTCAGGGAGCAAAAGGTCACCATGATTAAACACTGAACCACCAATATCAATCACTAACTTGACGGAAAAATTGTATATATACAAACACTAAGCAAATTGACCTCCTCACAAAAACCTTCAAAGTTTCACCACTGCCAATAAATTAACTTTAAAGTCAAAAATGAAAACAAAACTAAGCATTAAAACACATGCATTACAGTCAGGTTAAAGATAATTTCCAACGAATATTCCATAAACAACCAAGAAGCTCGAATCAACTAGAAATGCAGGAGTACCTTTAGAGACGTTGCAAGAATGGGAACAAGATGAGTCTGCGTGTTTACTTTGAATCCATCATTAACACCTCTACACAGAATCGACCAAAGGGAAAAAACACCACAATAAACTAATCATATACCAAGCAAAACAAAGAAACAATGCACACATTATCAACATCAACACAAACCTGTCTAAGTGAATTGCCAAAGTGGGGACACGCATTATAGGTTCCTCAATTCTAACAAGGCGATGCGAATACGAAACACAGCCAGCATTTTCTCTTTTTAAGATAACCCTCTCAGCCACAGTCAAATCCCGATCAAACCACGTGTACCATAAACCTCCTCCATAAGTTTGAACACCAACCTCCAATATTCCACCCTTAACCACCTGCATAAATAAACCCAAACTAAACCCTAAACCTCTCTCATTAATCCAAAATGTATTGACTAATCAAAGTTAACATAAAATTAATTAATAACCTTTGTCACCGGTTTCAGTTTCAAACAAGGACTATCGGTGTGAGCACCAATTATATGGAATCCATTTCCAGCAACATATCTGAGAAAGAAAAATTAAAAATTAAAAACGATGCGTTATTGATTATCGTCAAAGAAGAAGAAAATGAACCTTTTGCCAACGGCGAAAGCGACTATGGTGGAATGGTTTCTGGTTAAGAAGTATTTGTGACCGGCTTTTAGTTCCCAAACTTCCTTCTCCGAGATTTGTTCGTATCCGACGGCTTGTAACTGTTTCTTGGCCTCGTCTGAAAAGGAAATCGGTGAGTGAATGATGAGTTGCGAATTGAGAGAGAAGAGAGGAGTTGGTTTTGGTTATTACCGACGGCGTGGAGAGCAGTTGGAGATGCGTTGAGAAAGTTGATCAGATCGGAAACGACGGTTCCTTCGTCCTTCGACATGGTTTTGCAGATTCGACTTAGTCGGGTTAACTCGGCGGAGTGGTGGTGTTTCAGTGTTTAGATGTGGTGCTGCTGTTTTATTAAGGAAGACGGAATCGGAATCGGGCGGGCATGCATAATCGGAATCGGAAGCGAGGTTAAGGAAGACGGAATCGGAAGCGACCAGAATCGGAAACACGAACAGGGGAAAATGGAGTTGTAATTTTTCTACTGTTTGGGAAATAAGGGTTTGGAACCTATTACATCAGGGCATTGTAATACCCGATGTAAGGGTTGGATGGCTATTACATCGGTGCATTGTAATACCCGATGTAAGGGTTCTGAATTTTTTTTTATAATGCACCTATTACATCGGTGCATTGTAATACCCGATGTAAGGGTTGGCAAGTTTTTTTTCTGACTTTTTTTTTACAATGCACCTATTACATCGGTGCATTGTAATACCCGATGTAATAAGTTGCAAAAAAATTAATTTATTCTTTAATTTATTTTTTATATTAATATCTGTTGTGAAGATATTACATCGGTTTTTAGTTAACCGATGTAATATGTTTCATGTTTTTTATTAATATTTCTACTACCTTGTTTCTTATTTACAAAAATGCCACCGTATTTTTTCTGAAAACTTTTTACATCGGTGGATGCGTTGGCCCGATGTAATAGGTAGCGAAATATTTTTTTTCTTCATATTTTTTATATCATTGCAAATAAATACCTGATGTAAAAAGTTTGTTAATTGTATTTTTTACATCATATATTTTGATACCCGATGTAAAAACCTTTTCTCAAATGTCTTTTTTTAGTAGTGTTAGTGACTTGCGGGGCAAGAGAATTCTGATGATCTCTACTGGGGGGTCCAGAACCTGGTAGGCTCATGCTGGGGACGTAAGATTGAGAATCTTCAGTCTGGTGGGAAGCATCTCTGTGGGGAGAAGGTTCACTAGTCTGGTTCCGCTGGGGATTGATAGTTGGAAGTTTTAGCTCTGCTGGGGATTGGTAGTTTTGACTTCAACTGGGGATAGGATTTTCAGATTTTTAAGGCTCCACAGGGATACTGAAACTTAACTCTGAGGGGAATTGAGTTCTGGAAGGCTCTCTGGTTGGGGAAATCAGCTTTGAGAAAGCTTTTGTTCTGTTGAGGATCCTGAAGTTTAACTCTGTTTGGGGAATTAAGTTCTGGATTTTGACTTTGTTGAGGAATTTGGAGTTTAATTCCGCTAGGGATTCCTTCTGAAAGGGCATCAGGATATCTACCTGTACCTTTAAACTATTTGCAATCATCTTTCTTGATTTGTAAGAGAATGATTATGTTCAAATGCATATGCCTATTTAACAAAACATTGGACGTTTCTCAAATAAAACATAAGTGCAAAAGAGAAAAATGACGACAAAGCAAATTTCTGTATTTGGAAAAGTATTTGTATTAACTTTTTATGAGTATCTTTGTACAAAGGAGACAGGCATCCTAGTAAGAGGATGTTGTCGTAAAAATTGAAAAATTTATACAAAAGAAAGATGGCTATGTGAAACAATTCCATGGGATTCCATTATGCTATAGCCTTCACAACTCTAAATATCCGTCCATTCAATGCTTCGTCCGCCGATGACTGGATTGATCAGAAGCTTGGAGCTGGTTGATGAAGATATTGTGCTTAAAGTGATCCGACGAGACATAGTCATACGCTTTAATTCCCTAACTTTTTCATGAATCGCCCTTTCGGGTTTTCGATCCACCGGAAAACCCTTTTTTGCCCAAGCCTCCCTTTCGGGTTTTCAACTTGCCGGGTGTACAGATTGTTTTTGTTTTATCCCTAATTTTTGCCTGAACCGCCCTTTCGGGTTTTCGGTTCACCGGGATGCCCATTTTTGCCCAAGTCGCCCTTTCGGGTTTTCGACTTGTCGGGTGATTTTATGCGTAGTATCTTTTGACTATGTCTGCGTTCGCAGGGTGCGGAAAATCGTCACCGTCCATGGTGGTCAGAATCATTGCACCGCCAGAAAATATGCTCTTGATTACAAATGGTCCTTCGTAGGTAGGAGTCCATTTGCCCCTGGGATCAATTTGCGGCAAGATAATCCGCTTGATTACGAGATCTCCGACTTGATATACTTGACGTCTGACTTTCTTGTTGAAAGCCTTGATCATCCGTTTTTGATACGTCTGACCATGGCAAACAGCAGCGAGTCGCTTCTCGTCGATCAAATTGAGTTGATCAAGTCGGGTCTGAATCCAATCGTCTTCATTCAAACCAGCATCCTTCATAATCCTTAAAGAAGGAATTTGAACTTCCATGTGTAAGACAGCTTCCATGCCATATACCAAAGAAAACGGGGTTGCCCCGGTTGAAGTACGTGCCATGGTACGATATCCATGCAGAGCAAACGGTAACATCTCATGCCAGTCTTTGTAGGTGACTGTCATTTTCTGAATGATCTTCTTAATGTTTTTGTTCGCAGCTTCAACAGCACCGTTCATCTTCGGCCGATAGGGAGATGAATTGTGATGATAAATCTTGAACTGTTCGCATAGAGCGGTGATCATAGTATTATTCAGATTTGTACCGTTGTCTGTGATGATCCTGTCGGGGACACCATACCGGCATATGAGGTTCTGCTTGATGAAGCGGGCAACCACATTCTTTGTAACATAGGCGAAGGAAGCTGCTTCGACCCATTTGGTAAAATAGTCAATGGCGACCAGGATGAAGCGATGTCCATTGGACGCTGTGGGCTTGATCTCTCCAATCATGTCAATGCCCCACATTGCGAATGGCCAAGGAGATGTCAGAACATTGAGAGGAACAGGAGGAATATGAATCTTGTCAGCGTAGACTTGACATTTGTGGCAAGTACGAGAATGTTGATGGCAATCAGTTTCCATAGTAGACCAGTAATAGCCTTCCCTTAGAATCTTCTTAGCCATTGTGTGCCCGCTCAAGTGGGTGCCAAATGTGCCACTGTGTATCTCGGTCATGATCAACTCTGCTTCAGCTTTGTCCACACATCGGAGGGAAACACAATCATGGTTGCGTTTATAGAGGATGTCGTTGCTCAGGAAGAACTTGGCAGCAAATCTCCTTAGGAACTTCTTGTCATTTACGGAAGCTCCTTCGGGATATTCTCTAGTCTGGAGATACCTTTTGATTTCGTGAAACCAGGGTTGTTCCACTACTTCTTCGGTATTAATCTCATGACAATGCGCAGGTTCATCCATTCACTCGATGGTGATTTAGGGAGCCTCGTTATCCCAGTTGAGTTTAAACATGGAAGACATTGTAGCCAGAGCATCTGCTAGCTGGTTCTCTTCTCGCGGGAAAAAATCGAAGGTGATTTGCTCGAAATGAGGCAACAATGTCAAGACATGTTCTTTGTATGGGATAAGATTAGGATGTTTGGTGTCCCACTCTCCTTTGATTTGACTGATAACCAAAGCCGAGTCCCCAAATATGATCAAAGATTTGATCCCCAAGTCTATAGCAGCCTTGAGACCAAAGATGCAAGCTTCATATTCAGCCATGTTGATTGTACAGCTGAAGCAAAGTCGGGCCGTGAAAGGTGTGTGGCAACCTTCCGGGGAAATGAGTACCGCACCGATACCGTTTCCAAGTGCATTTGAGGCACCATCAAAGTACAGGGTCCATCGGGATCCATTTTCAGGTCCGTCATACGGTCCATTACTTTCAATATTGTCCAAATTCATGATGTCCTCGTCCGGGAAGTCGAATCTCATGGATTGATAATCTTCGATAGCTTGATGAGCTAGATGGTCAGCTAGTACACTCCCCTTTATAGCTTTTTGGGTAGTATACTGGATGTCATACTCAGTCAGGATCATCTGCCACCTAGCGATTCTCCCAGATAAAGCAGGCTTCTCGAAGATATACTTGATATGATCCATTTTGGAAATCAACAGAGTGGTATGAGTCAACATATACTGCCTTAGTCGGCGAGCAACCCATACCAAAGCGCAACAAGTTTTCTCGAGCAGTGAGTAGCGAGTCTCACAGTCGGTAAACTTTTTGCTAAGGTAATAAATGGCATGCTCTTTTCGACCAGACTCGTCATGCTGGCCCAGTACGCACCCCATTGAGTTATCCAACACGGTCAGATACATGATCAACGTTCTTCCTTCGACGGGTGGCATCAGAATAGGAGGTTCTAGCAAATACTCCTTGATTTTATCAAAAGCAGCTTGGCAGTCGTCGTTCCATTCGACTACCTGATCTTTCTTCAATAGTTTGAAAATTGGCTCACAGGTAGACGTCAGATGAGAGATGAATCTGGCAATATAGTTCAAGCGCCCCAAGAACCCTCTAACCTCCTTTTCAGTATGGGGGGCAGGAATTTCTTGTATAGCCTTTACTTTTACTGGATCGACCTCAATGCCTTTGTTGCTGACAATAAATCCTAGAAGTTTACCAGACCTAACTCCAAAAGTGCACTTACTTGGATTCAGCCTGAGTTTGTACTCCTTCAACCTGGCAAACAGCTTTCGCAGATGTTCAAGGTGTTCCTCCTCTGTTTGTGATCGAGCTATCATGTCGTCTAAGTAAACTTCGATCTCATGATGTATCATATCATGAAACAAAACTACCATGGCGCGCTGATAAGTTACCCCTGCGTTCTTCAGCCCGAACGACATCACCTTGTAGCAGAAGGTACCCCATTGCGTAACAAAGGTTATTTTCTCCATGTCCTCGAGGGCCATTTTAATCTGGTTGTAGCCCGAGAATCCGTCCATGAAGGAAAACACTTTGTGCTGAGCCGTGTTGTCAATCAAAATGTCGATATGCGGTAGCGGAAAATCATCTTTAGGGCTGGCCCTGTTCAAATCCCGGTAGTCCACACACATTCTGACCTTGTTGGCTTTTTTAGGTACTAGCACAATGTTAGCAACCCATTGTGGATAGGATGTAACAGCCAGAAAACCAGCGTTGAATTGCTTCATTACTTCAGCTTTAATCTTCTCAGACATGTCGGGCCTCATTCGGCGTACTTTT